ACAGGACCATAAGTATCCTTAACTCCTAAGGACCCGCGCCTGGGGTCTCGAGACTAGCATTGGGCGCTGGTTCGACTCGAACATTTGCCTACGTTGCGTTGGCCTTCCCTAATGAATGCCCTGATGATCCTATCCTCACCCGTGACTGCCCTTCACAATAAATTGTAAAGTTCGTACACTTTTCAAGTCAAAATGGCAATTTTGTCCCGATGGCATGTTCGATAACTTTTTTTTTTCTATTAATCTTTCATTTTTCAGTAAATTCATTGAATTATAATTAATTTGAAATTCAGTTACGTTGGATCTCATTAAAAACAAAATTTTCTTAATATTTATTTCTCTATTTATAATATTCAAATTCAAGATTTTATTTAATAAAAATCAAATTTCTTCCATTTAAAATTACAAGTCCTTGCTTCTATAACTTTTGGTTGCATATAAATTCAGTTACCATCTCCTCACAAGTACCCATTTTTTATTTTTTATAAGTTTTTGCTTTCGATAATCTTGATAAGGAGATGCAGAAGGAAATGATTTATTTTGAGGAGCCTCCAAATGGGTATTAATTCACCTGTCGGAAGCTGACTGAGACTTGAAGTTATAGAGCCTCAAAACATGTTTTTTACTCAATGATTTTTAGAATTTGTTTGAGATTATTAAATTAAAAAATTATTTTTTAGTACCATTTTACACTCTTATTTAATTAGTGTATAACTTTGTGACTTGAATGGAAAAAAATGAGTTACAAAAATCCAAAAGAACATAAAAAATATAAGACAATCAAATTATTAATTAGTTTGAACTTGCATTGATATAGTAATATTTTAATATAAATAATTAGTGCAATGGTGGAGTGGTAGTTAGAATCTGACTTCTCAATTAAAATCAATGATGAATCCCTTACTCTATCGAGGATTTATTAGAAACAAAATCATGAAATTCATAGTGAAGTATCAAAAGTATCTCAATAAAACCATGTAATGGTAAACTAAGGGTTAGAACAACATTTTTATAATTTTTTATATAAATTAACTATAAAATAATAAATTAATGGACATTAATTTATATTGTAAAAAATTAAATAATTTTTTTTAAATTATATTATTTTAATAAAATATTAAAAAATTTAAAATAACTTTATTTATACTTTAAAAATTAAAATATTTTAATATTTTAAAATAAAATTTTATTAAAATAACATGATTTTAATACTTTTTTTACTTAATTTTTTAATGCAAACTAATATTTACTTTTTTTTTTTCTAAACAGTATAGAATTTTTTCAGGAAAGAGGGAAGGGGTACTTGAGATTTGATCTTAAGTTCTATAGTTTTAAGTACGTTCCGCAAGGGGTGATTATTGGCCACCAAGTGTTGGACAAACTAATATTTACTTTTTTAATAAAATAAAATATATATTATATATTTAATTTGTACTTTTAAAACACAAAATAAAAAAATCAAGAAGAAAAAACTTAAAATTCAAACGGCCTAACCAAGAGCATTAAAAAAGATCAGAGGGGGCGTGTAAAGCTTGAGGGCCAACCAAAGGTATGTCCTTTTTTGACCTTTTCACTTTTGTCACGTACACGCAGATACCCAGAAACCAACCGCCGTTATTTCGCGAGGGACGGATACCCGAGGGTACTTCCGTGATTTCATCTCGACCAGTGTCGGTTACTTCTTTACCCGTCTTTTTAAATAATTCCGCGAAAATTACTTATTTGGCGGCTATGGAAACAAACAGTACAAAAAAAAACTAAAAATAAAATAAAAACAAATAAATATAATTTTTTTTAAAAATTCTTTAAATAGGAAAAAAAATGAAAATGAAATATAATTTTTTAAAAAAATTCTTTAAATAGGAAAAAGAAAAAGAAAAAGAAAATTCAAAGCCCGAAACTGGACCGGTAGTGTAGAGATAGAAAGAGAGTGTTTAGAGAGAGAGAGAGAAAAAAAAAAAAAAAGAGAGAGAGAGTTCAATTACTGTGAAAAAAAAAAAAAAAAAAAAAGAGAGAGAGAGTTCAATTACTGTGAAAGCATCTCTGCCTCCTCTTGTTCTTCTTCTTCCTTGCGAATTTCGTTCTTGATTTTGATGGAGATCTCCGATCAGTTTTAGGACCATTGTAGAATCGCCGGAGATTCTCTGTAGGACGATCGCTGATTTTTCTTTTTGTTTTTTTGGGTCCTTTTTTTTGTAAAGTTTGTAAGGTACTGTAGAGGAAAGCTTTCCCGTTCCCGAAGGAAAAAGTAAGAGCCCGTTTCGATGGACTTGTACGGTCGGAATCCGGGGCGGAATGGGTCGCAATCGGGTCAAGTACCTGAATGGACTCCTCAGGGAGGTGAAGCCGGGATTGAAGGTCAGTTGATTTCGGTTTTGTGTTGGTACGGTTGTTTGGGAATGGTGTTAGTGGGGTTATTTTGGGTTTTGGGGATTTAGGGTTTTGTAATGTGGAGTGGGGATTAGTGTTTTTGGTGTGATTTTCTTGGTTTTGTGCAGAATCTATGTGGGAATTGTCACTGAGGAGCGCTGAGTCGTACCCGGAGCGGTCCGGAGTGCCTGACTGTGTGTACTATATGAGAACTGGGTTCTGTGGGTACGGTAGTAGGTGCCGGTACAATCACCCTCGTGATCGTGCTGCGGTACGTTTCTTGATCATTCCGCATTCTTCTTCTTTCTTTAAATTGATTGGTTATGTCTTTTCTATTTTTTCCAATTATGCGTATCTGTTTTTGCATGCTGATTTTATTTCTTAATAATATATGCCTATTGGGAGTTCGAATATGAATTAACATTGCATAACTTCAGCGTTTTTGTTCGTAGTTGGATGGTAGAATTGAGAACTTTATTAAGGTCAAAACGAAAGTGCTAAAATACCATGAGCACAGAATTGATGTAAGTATGTAACTGCTGAAGTCTGCCTAATCACAATCCTCTTGCGAAAAACTCTTTGGTTTGTGCTTTCCATGCAAGTCCATGAACTTTCTGTAAAGACCTGCCAACGTAGTCCATACACTATATCAGCAAAAAGTCCTTTTCGGAACAGAGTTAGATAATATGTTGACAAAGGTGTTGAGTAATCCAATCCAACTCCTGTTTCTAATTCAGGAAGTTTTTTGAACACGACATTTTTTTAAGAAAGAGAGAAAGTGAATTCCCTCCAAATACAAGCTGTATTATAACATTCTGACAATGAATATCACTGTCTTCTATTCTATAGCTGCATGGCCCTTTGCACATGTGTACACAGTTCTTCAGCAGTGTACTTTTAGTCCATCCCTTAATATTATCAGCAGGATTGAAACTTGTCTTCTTCTAACATGCTTATTCAATCCTGTTTCACAACATGCATGCAATGAGATGCCTGGTAAAGTTAGGTTATGTTTATGCTATTGTCTGATGTGGGTGCATGTATGTATTCTGCGAGAAGAACATCATTTTAGTTTTGGAGGCATGTTAATCGAGCAGAAAACTCTGCCATCAAATTTTGCTTCATATGGATGACCTTTTCATAGTTCTGTTTCTCAATGTGGGGTTCATAGTGGTCTTTACAGTTAGTTGAACTTGTAGCTGTGTTGGGTTGTTTATTGTACTTCATGTTTGACATGGTATTGTCACATTTTTTGTGAGAATTAGCTCACTAATGTTTATTTGGTTGGGCTGTGACTTAGGTTGAGGCAGCTGTAAGAGCCACGGGGGATTACCCAGAACGACCAGGGGAACCTGCTTGTCAGGTAAAATGGTAAATTTGGATGTGAAATTTCTTGGTACTTAATACAGCTGATTTTATTATTATTTATTATTTATTTTTATTTTTATTTTTATTTGCTCCTCTTCTTGCTTAATATGCAGTTCTATTTAAAAACTGGGACCTGTAAATTTGGTGCATCTTGTAAGTTTCACCATCCTAAACATGGAGTTGGATCCTTTAGCCATGCTGCTTTGAATACATATGGACTCCCATTACGACCGGTTCGGATGATCTCTTTTCTTTTTTCCTTTTTTTGTTTTTTTTTTTTCCATCAATATATACATCGCTGGGTTTTTCTTTGATATTATGATTTGTGTATCCATTAACAGGGTGAGAAAGAATGCTCCTACTATTTGAAAACGGGGCAGTGCAAATTTGGTATTACGTGTAAATTCCATCATCCTCAACCAGCTGGCACATCAGTGGCAGCATCTGCACCTCAATTTTATCAGCCGGTGCAGTCTCCATCAGTTCCTATACCTGAGCAATTTGGTGGGCCATCTACCAGCTTGAGGGTGGCAAGGCCTCAGTTGTTACCTGGTTCATATGTTCAAGGGGCTTATGGTCCTGTGCTGTTTTCTCCAGGAGTGGTTCCTATTCCTGGTTGGAGTCATTACTCAGTAAGATAATGAACGCATTTGCATTGAAGTAATGTCAAAATAATTTGCATTTCTGAATCTCCTTTTGGCTTCCTTGGTGCAGGCACCTGTAAGCCCGGTACTGTCTCCTGGTCCGCAGCCTGCTGTTGGTACATCTGTCTACAATTTAACACAGTTATCACCATCAACACCTTCACTTGCAGGTCCTTATCCCTCATTACTTCCTTCTACTGGCCCTTCAAGCAGTAGCCTGATGGAACAATCATTTCCAGAGAGACCTGGTGAACCTGAATGTCAGTACTATATGAGAACTGGTGACTGTAAATTCAGAGCTTCTTGTAGGTATCATCATCCTCGAGACAGGGTTGTGCCAAGAATAAACTGTGCTCTCAGCCCAATGGGGCTCCCTATACGTCAGGTATGTGAGTTTACTTGATCTATTTTTCGAAGCTCTGTGCTGGAGATGTTCATTATCAGATCCTACTTTGTTATTTTCTATATTTTTCTCTTACTTTATTATTTATCTTCTTTTTTTTTTTTGTCAAAGAAGGGATTAAGTTACGATTTTATGTCATACAGGGATTGTGCAGCAATCAACATTCCATATAGTGCATGTTATTAAGTAAATCTAGCTATAAGTGCCTAAGCAATTTAGTTGGATAGGTTGAAGGGTGGAAAGTGGAAACAAACTAAGTGAAGCTCAATTCTAAACAGCTTGAGTTTGGGCTTTATTTGAGCTTATTTTCTTGGTTTTAGCCTAACTTTCGAAAATACATGGAGCTTGAGCTTGATTATACAAAACGCTACAAGTCTGGGCTCAAGTCCCGCATATTTGAATTGAGATCCAAATATGAGCCAAGCCATGCTCATTCCAACCTTCTAGATAGGCCTCTAATTTTGGAACTTTGCATCTTAATTGGTGTTGTCAAATGATATTAATAGCTTTTTTGTTAATGAAATAAAAGAGAGTGAGAACCCTTTGGTCTACTTTTTCCCCTTAAACGAATTTTGACTTGTCAAGAAACTTTTATTCTAAAATTTAGGTTTGTATTTCTGTAACCAGGGGGTGCAACCTTGTTCTTTCTACTTGCAAAATGGGCACTGCAAGTTTGGGGCTACATGCAAATTTGATCATCCTATTGGACCAATGAGATATAATCCATCTGCCTCATCTCTAATTGATATGCCTGTTGCTCCCTATCCAGTTGGGTCTTTGCTTGCTACACTAGCCCCATCAACCTCATCTTCTGAGCTGCGGCCTGAACTGATTTCAGGATCCAAGAAGGATTCTTATTTGAGCAGAATCCCCACTTCTGGAAGCACCTCTAGCAGTTCAGTTGGCTTGATCTTTTCACAGACTGGATCTCCACTTTCTGATTTGCCACTTTCAGGTCAGGGTTCTGTTTCTTTAAGCAGTAGCAGAAACACAAGACAAGGTGGTGAGGTCCGCCGTTCAAACTGATGTAAAATGCAAGAGCCATTCTTCACAGTCCTGTGGATTTGCTTTTACCAGCCTTTATTTATCGACTGTTAATAGATCTCAGTAAATTATAGGCAAATTGTCAACTGTGCAAAGTTTTCTTCTGCATCAAGGCTTATCAACCAAACTGGTGCACCTCACAATAGGATTGTTCGTCTTTATGCTATATATATTGTCCCATGTTATGATAGATATTAGCCTCAATAAGCTTTTGTAGCATGGTATGAACGTCCCGTCTTACAAATAATTACATCAGAAAGCAGCTAGATCAGGTCAGCCTCTGACTTTTCAACCTGATGATTTGTATACTTGCATTCTTGTGACTCTGCAATGAAGAGGATTGCTAGTTCCACAAAGTATGAGCTGCTGTTTATGTCATGCCTTCCTCTCACTTGATGTCAAGCACTAGTTTACTACCGTCTCTGGCTTCACTTACTCCCATTTTTGTAGTTGCTATGCTTATCCTTTTTCTTATTTCTGTCGAAGGGACAGGAGTGTTAGTGTTGGTTGCTTCCATCTCTAAATTCTAAGCGGAGAATCTGCAAGGGGATCTGGGAGAGGTTATCTCATTATAGCCTTAATTCTTAGATGGAGACAGGTACTAGATTTTAGCATTCTGTTTGTTTGAAATACAGAAACTTATTGTAGAGGCTGCTGTTTTCCTTCATATATATCTATCTATATATATATATACATATGCATATACATACCTGAAAAAAGTTTCTCGATGGATCTTTAAAAAATTAGAAGGAAAAATGTTTCAAAAATATATCATTTCAATAACTCTTATTAAAAAAAATTAAAATAATTTATTTTTAAAATTAGAATTGAGTTTGTTTTGGTATTTTCTTATGGTGTTTTAATAAAATACCATATTTTAAAGTTTCTTTTAAAATTTTTTTCAAGGTTTAGTTGATAAATACTAATATATATATATATAGAGAGAGAAAAGTATTTGTCAGTTAAATCTT